CAATTGTTCATTTAGGTAAAAAAAATAATGTTAATACCTTGGGCTATTTTCAAAAAATGTTGACTAAATACCATGCAGACTGCAGTTTACACGCACATTCACCAAGTACGTATTTCTACGGCTAACAAAATTCATAATCGTATCTTTTAATTTGTTTAAATTTATTTCAGTGTTTATTTTTCAAACGTTTTATGTAAATAATTTTGGATCAACATCGAGTCAGATCAAATTATAATTTATTAAATTATTAATTAAAAACTGAAACACGCCTATTATCACCTATATAAAAAAATTAAACAGAACACCATTCATGTTTTATATTTAAAAAAAACATAAACGCTAAACGAAACTAAGCACTCCAAGAAACGATGTACGCTAAACGATACGATATACGCTAAACGAAACGATGTACGCTAATACGCTAAACGATACGGTATACGCTTAATGAAACGATGTACGCAAAACCATACGATGTACGATAAAAGGGCGCTTATGTTATCGTTTATGGTATGGTTTATGGTATATGGTTTCGTTCGTACATCATTCGTTCAGCGTCCGTACAACGTTCGGTCAGCGTTTCGTTTGCATTCGTACACCGTTCGGGCAGCGTACGTACATCGTTCGGGCATCGTCCGTACATGATTCGGGCATCGTTCGTATTGTTAACTTTTACGTTACACGGACTGTACCTTATATACCAAAAAAAAGTGCCTTTAGGTTAAACCATAACATTTAAAATATATTGCATACCCCATGCAATGTTTTAGTTGACACATTACAATAAAAAGAAAATGTATATCTTTAAACTGATAAATCTATGTCCTCTTTAAAAAGATTTTATTTTAAGGATGGCCGCATCATGAACCAACACATACCATATTTAAACAAAAACATTACTTACAAAATACAGTGGAACAAAAGAGGTTAATAACCGTTTTATATATATCATTCATCATTTTATAGATGTCGAATTCACAGAGGAAACATTAGATCTTTTGAAACATTTACAACGAAGTAGTTCTCGGTATTTCTTTATCCTCAATACGTATATGACAGGATCTAATAGTGGGTTCAACATCATAAAGACGGTATTTGTGATCATACTGAGTTCAGTAACCGTTTCAGATAAACCCTCGCTGAAAGAATAGAAACCAAGCAAACTCCTGGGAAGAACTCCTACTACTGTCACACTAATGATGACACCAAGAGTCTGAACGTTCCTGCGCATTCTAAGATCATTATTTTTTTTCTTTTGACTCTGATCTGCTGGAACTCCGCGTGTCTGGACTCCTACCACCTTCTGTTGTTTGACCATTCGGTAAACGATGACCCCGTAAATTATAATAATCAATAATACGATAGCTACTGACGGAAGGTCATGTGAAAACACAAACAATGGAGTAAGTGTCTGCTCGCTTTCACAAGGTACAGGTCCTTTTAAAGTTTCTAGTCCAAATCTCAGGAGAGAAAAACAAAGGCTTACGATAAAACAGATAAGAACAGATACGTTGTTTGTTATAGTATCCAAAACATGTCTTTTAGTTCTAAATGTAGCATTAAGTCGTTCTAAACATATCAATAAGGTCTGCAGAAGAGAAGCAATAATAGTTCCACATGCCACATGTTTTAACATCATACACTGATAAAAGTAGGCCGAGTTTTGCAAGTTTAGGAAATTTAGAATTCCATGGTAAATATAAATCAGGCCTACTGCACTATCGCTTAGACTTAAATACAAAGCCAATACCAAGAATCTGTTTTTTCTTAATTCTTTTGAAGTAACAGACACGTATATCGAACAAACGTGAAATGAAAGAAGTACTGAAGCAATTAATACGGCTGCTATCGTAGCTCCAAGTTTCAGCATTTTCGTAAGTCTTGGTTTGGCATTTAACAATGTCAAGTGACAATATGATACACTCACCTAGATATTGTGATTATTGTTATGAAAATGCACCTCAATTTAATGTCGTAAAATATGACGTAAAAGAATGAACTGCGATAGCGACATTGATTTTTAAAGTTGGATAAAGGGTAATCCTTATCCGATTATTCATACTATATACTTTCATTCAGAACAGGGAAATTGTTTTATAATATTTTCTAGCCAGGAAAAAGTTCAAACGCTTAATTCTAAACTGCATAGAATGTAGCATTTCTTCGTGTTACTTTTGTTTAAGTTTGACAAAAGGAATACCTATTTCTGATTGAATATATCAATATATTAATTTCAAATCAAAGCACCAATGCTATGCTTTCATCAACCGAAATAAGGAAATTATGTAATAAATGTACAGGAAATAGGCTTAAATTACATATCAACAGATACGGCAAAAATAGATTAAATGATTTTTTTGACTCTATTTTCATTTTCGTGATCAAATATTAGTCAAAATAATCACCGAAATGGTTGATAACATGTGAATGTTACGTAATATTTGAATGCCAATGCCATATTGTTTTTGCAGACAAAGATTTAGATGAGAAAATCACGAAAATCAAAAATAAAAATTCCAGTTTGGAGTGAGTTTCTTCATATTAATGTTCACAAAAAGAAATCCTATTTTTCATTGTTGAATTATTGAATTCTTTGCGTTTTGTAGATGTCCAGTAAAATGTTATCCTTACCGTAATCAAGACAGGTATGTTTATAGTTTGTTTTGGATCAATTCAAACTGTTCAACCCAAGATACTGTGTTATATTCATCTGACAGTTGGGCTCGTGTACAGCATATAACTTATTTTAAAAATCTGTTTGCCCGCCAATATTTCTTTTGAAAAAGTTCTTGCACCGCTATTAAATAACCAAAAACTGAAATATATCAAAACTTTATATGACATTTTTTAAAATTAAAATGTGCATACTTCAATTAAATAAATGTATAAATTATTCTGTTTGTATTCAGAAACCAAGTTATAACTTTTTTAACCATTACTGGTCATCAAATTACAACATAATAATCAATAACAGACATTTTGACCTGCATGTAAATATGCTGCACCCAGATTGTATTACCAGTACACGTACTTCTAGGAATAAGCTATTTATTTAAAAGATGGATGGGCCGGTCCATATCTATTTTCACTGAATCTTATCTGTATTTGTGTACATGTAATTCAAAATAATTTCAAATCAAATAGCCATATTGTACGGGTACACAAAAAGATTCTTTTTATTCAATTTGATGTTTCAGCTTTCCTGGTACATATATTTCTATCGCTCAGTGTTATTATTTTTAAAAATTATTTGGATGAATAACAAACTATAAATATGGTTTGTATGGTATTTAAAAAAACTAACTTTTACTCTGGTTTCAATTAAGAATTATGGATAGAACAAAGAAAATCAGACTGGAAATCATTGTCTGATCAACTATGGAGTTTCTTTAATTCTGTTTTCCTTGTTAGTTATAAAATTATAGAATATATTTGTGTAAATTCAGTGTTCTGGCTACTGAAAAAAAGAAACAAGCAAAAAATATTGACTTTGTTCCGAGAACCCGAACAAAATAAAAACAAAATAAAACAAAACACGGCAGGCAAATTTTAAACACAATTACCAAATTCTTTTAAAATATTATATCTAAAAATCAAATAAAAGAAAACTATTCTAGTTAAAAATACTAACTTGTTTCATAACCTTATTTTACACAACGTTTTCACCAAGTGTCAAAAATAAACCTCCTATTCACGTTTATAACACTCATATTTGCAGTCACCACCTAAAAAATCAGCTGAAATGGAAGAGACTTATAGCCATTTATCCTACCACCTTTACATTGCTAGAAATATCATTGGTAAAAAGCAAACATTTGGAGACCGTGTATATTTAAAATTGGGTTAGTGGGCTTGTTTTATTTTAACACGCAGTTAGTAGCAGTGCTGCGTCCTTTCATAAAATGGCCACCTCAAAATCAATTATTTTTCTGTCAACCCGTCAATTAATTTAAAGGTTACCCAGCAGGCACTCAACGTTGCGTTGATTCAACGTTGAAACAATGTTGTTTCTCAACGTTGAAACCATGTCAAATTTATATTTGATTTTGAAAATTTGAATCAACGTTGAAATTTCAACGTTGACGTTTCAACATCCATTCAACGTTGATTCAAGGTTGAATAGTAGTTGAAAGTACATAAATAAAATATATCATAAAGCTGCATACACATTTTGACCTGCTTTCCAAATTTGTGTTGTTGTTATTGGTGGCAGACAGGCAGCTGGATTGTGCAGGGTTTTTTAATGTCTTGGGTTTTCCCCCCAAGACACATATGAACTAGATAGATAGGCTAAATGGGAGATGATCCAACATTACGTGCTTGTACGAGGTCAATTATCTTGACCATAAATGTCAGATCTTAACATCTTTGTTGGCTTCTGTGTCTATTTTCTCAGTACAGTTAGTGGTTGGTGTGATCTACTGTATTGTCCGATATATTTGGGAGATCCTGTTAAATCATTGAATCATGCGTATTAAGCTATTGAGAACAAGAGAAAATACAAGTAGGAATAGCTGAAATGATTGTTTGTGTCCACTTGTATAACGATAACTATATATAATTATCTATATGGTTATACAAGTGGACACACACCATCATTTCATTTATCCTACTTGTAGTTTTTCTTGTTCTGAATAGCTATAAAATACAAATGATTCAATGAATTTGATTACACAGTTTGCATAAAAATTTTGAAACACACTTTATTCCCACCACAGAAAGCATCACTAAACAGAAAGAAGATGTTGAATAGTTCTAAACTATTCTCACATGTTACAAGTTATCTTTGTTAAGCGACTGACCAAATGTTAAGCCATTCTTTAAAGTAGTATATCCCAAGAAAAGTGAAGACATTATAAGATCCAAAGAGTGTACAGGATGATCGCAATACATATGAAAATAAGAAGATGCTGCATGACTGCTAACCAGACAACTCTCAACGAAATTTTCTTGATGATATATATATTACCCTCACACCTAAAGGCTATAATTGGTATAATCCATTACACGAATACAAATTTACTGAATAACAACATTAACTATAGTAATACAATGATATTTCTTTTGATTCAAGATTTATTTTTAAATTCATTTGTTATCTTAGTCTCTTTTGTCCTTTTTGCATGTCAACTTTCTTCCACCACCTCGAGTTCTTTCTGCTGCAGACTTCAAGCAGGAGGACTCTTTATCAGATATTTGTTTCTCAGTGACATCTTTATTCGTTTGCAGTATATTTAACCTCTAGAAAAGATAAGATGATAATAAATATAAATTGTATGTCCTGAAAAGATATCCTAAACTTGAGTCACCTTAAATTTGTTTCTAGATATCACCAAGAAGCAATGAAAAATAGAACCATAATGGCAAAGCACATAAAGAAATAAGCTAATCGTTAATAAAAAAAAATATGAGAAATAAAAAAATACATAAATATTTACTATTGGTAGTTTTTGATATTAAATGAAGAAGCTTTTACCCGAAATTTGTAAACCTGCAGGTTTGACTTTGTAATTAATTACTCCGCAAACACTTTACCTTTCATGTTTTTTAATTGATAACTGCACAAGTCCATTAACATTTTTCGTATGTGTGTGTATGTTCGATTTTTTTGTAATTCTTTATTTGTTATATTTCAATGTATTTCATGAGGGCCTCAGTGAAGATTAGTTTTGTAACTAACTGTGTAATCCTTTTTAAATAAAGAATTATTAATTATTATTATTATCATCATTAAATAAAGAACTGCGCCATGAGCGCATGATACGCCCGTATTTAACACGGAACACAAAAAACCTACCTTTGATGATTTTATAGATTGGAATTCCAAAAACTGAATTTTTATTTTGCTCCACTTAGATTCATTTCAGCCATTGCTTTGTTCGACAAACTACTGTAAAATAGATAATACATGTTCACGATAATGGAAGGCTGTTGTAAGTTTAGGTTCAGCGGCAGGTTAAATGCACATTCAGGACGAGTACATGATAATGTTTTAAGAATACGAAGTCTACGAATATTGTCAAGATAATTTTTTCACTGTGTAAGTTCTCATTTATGCTAAACGCAATCTTGGCTACCTCCTTTATTCTGAAATCAGCTTATTCTTTTTATTGTATTATATTTAATTGTATTAACCCTTCACGTAAATAATTGTCTGCCTTGTATATGATAATGTTATTTGTCTTAGTAAACAAATTGCTAAAAGTTTCTAACGTATATAATATTGTCATTTTGTTGTTATTGTTTACTTAAAGTGGTGTCGTCTTTTGGTTTTTAATACTTCTATTAAGGCGCATGGTCATGTTGATTTTAAAGTAGTCATAACTGATTAGGCGCACATGCTATGTTAACCTAATTTCTCGTATTACACGGAGATCGCCTGAAGATCAGATAAGGGTCAGACAGACTTGGTTTAAAAATAGAATGACTTGTGTAGATAGGTTAATTAGGCGAAAAGTTATGTATGAACATTCAATTTTCCTCACACCCGTAGCCAGGGAGGTTCGAGGGGTTCGTACGCACCCCCCCCCCCCTTCCCCTTGAAAACAAATAAGCACTGTTAAAGTCGGCGCTGTTTGAATTGTAACAGTTAAAGCGAGCTACGCGAGTCCATGTACATGATGTAACAACCCCCCCTTGAAAGTTCCGGGCTACGGGCCTGTTCCTTCTCATAGCGTGAAGTAATTGTACTTTGTGGTATTATTTAACGTAATTGTAAAAATAATACAAATTTCACATTTTATAAATTTTTAAATTTCTGCACATGATCGTTCAATATTTTGTTGTTCAGTCCAAATGTATTGTTTATTATCAACAATAGCATGCAGTTTACCTAGCCTTTAACTAAAAGAAGACACATATCTATAGTATACGTGTTGGGAACACCAGATCACATTTACCAGTGTAAAGCGCTTGCGTACACCCCCCCCTTTTTTTCTTATCCGACACTTCAAGCATATTAATGTCTCAAATTTTACTTAAAGAGAAAACAAATATGCTTTCCACCTTTAATGCTCTTAAAAATAGTAAAATTGGTGGAAATTATATATCATATTGTTCACTATGGCCCTTCCCTGTGTTCTACTATCTACATTTGTTGACGTTATATTTTTTCTCTGATTGTGCAATACTGATACCAATTCAGCATTTCTTACTGCAATTTATACATATGAAAAACAATTATAGCCGCATAGAAACATCTACTTACCATAAGGATACTTGATAAACGGCAAGTTTCTCGTTCTTTGTTTTTCTATCTTTTAAACAGGAAAAAACCGAGTATACGTAATGCGTATGGGTAACTAACTTCCTGTTAAAATCCCGCGAAAATATGAATAAAAAAAAAACCGAGATTTTTGTAAATAATCAATTATTTCAAATTTCTTTACGTGTTATCCTTATGTTATTATAAATTATTCATAAATATTATGTGAGATATAATAAATGCAGTTTATCTTTTTTCAAAGAAATTCAGTATCAAACAATATAACCCCCCTCCCCCCTATTTCAAGAAATTTATATTAAAAATATAAGATCTGATTTCATAATATTTTTGTGAAAATCGAAAACCTATTTCATTCTTTTCTTTATAAATATATACTGCTATAGTTATGCATGTACTGACTTGAGTTAATGATTTTTTTTATATAAGCCTACAGTAAATACTTGAGTCAATGTTGAATCAACGTTCCAATTTCAACGTTGAAATGGTCAACGTTAATTCACCTTTAAAAAAATGTTTATTACTCAAAGTTGAAAATGTAACGTTGTGTCAACGTTGAATACACGTTGATCACCATTTCAACCTCATTTCAACGTTTATTCAACGTTGAGTGCCTGCTGGGTAAGCTTCATGTATATTCAAGTTTTACATATTTCCGGAAAAAACATGAATTTATAAAGTTACTGTACGTGGGAAGACTTGGTGCGTTATTTATGTTGTCTAGTATACAAACTCAACAGGTTTTAAATATGAATCGGCTATACGTGTTAATATATTTCTCTTAAGAAATGTTGCATTTCTAAAGATTTTCCGAATTATTTTTTTGCTTATTTCTTACTTAAGACTTTTACAAGCCAACGGAAGCACAGCACAGTACAGAAAACAAAACTCTGGTCTTACCTTAGAAGAACGTCATGTCTAATTTCTTTTTAAAATTTCTTTTTGTTGTCCTCTACATTTCTCGATAATCGATGAGAAAAACGGTTTAAGAAATCGCATAATTTGTGCATATCACTCATACAGATTAAAGTTGTATTGTTCAAGTGTCTTACTTATAAGATTGTGACACTGTGATGACTATTGTTCCCATATTTTGACAATGTTACCTATTATGTCTGTTTTGTTCACGAATCGTTGTAAATATAATGGAATTTGATTCAACTTTCATACAAGTGAGAGGTTTAGCGCTAAAAAACCAGGTTCAATCCACCATGTTCTACATTTGAAAATGCCTGTACCAAGTCAGGAATATGACAGTTGTTGTCCATTCGTTTGATGTGTTTTATCATTTGATTTTGCCATTTGATTAGGGACTTTCCGTTTTTAATTTTCCTCAGAGTTCAGTATTTTTGTGATTTTACTTTTTATAATTGACACTCTGCTTATTAAGAAAATAGTCATTGACATGATTGAGGCTGTCGTAATTGATTCAATGCCATTCTAAAATATGATGTAAAACACTTTTCAATTTACAGACAATGTATCATGAAAGTATTGAAAACTAAAGAAAGTATTACGCCAAAAACGTATTCGCGAAAACAAGTTGGTTTATGGTGTTCCTAGATCAGCTATTTTTTTACTTATACTGGTGTGTATGCTTCTTTATCACAACCTAAATGGAAATATTCAGAAATGAATAAAATATGTGAGATACAGTCAAACCTCGGTAAGTCGAAGTCGGATAGACCTGACACAACTATTCGACTCCTCCGAGGTTTCAGTTATCCGAGGTACTTTCTCTTCAGGCTCTTCTTCTTTTTAGTTTTGGTAATTTTTAATCCTGGTATCTAAGATGAGTTAATATATATTTCGTTTGAGTGCTATATCTACATTTTCAATAACAATTTTTTTTTGTATCCATTTGGCAATGATTTCATATCGTTATACATGTATGCACTTTGTATTATTATGAAAATAGACATTGAGTTCGTCGTATTTGTTTCAATGCCCTTCTTAAATATAATCGGACGCTTGAAATTTATAACATGTTGTTTTAATTTTTTACAGCATTGGGTCGATACCTCTGCTGGTGGACTATCAGTATTTGCGGGTGTCATCAGCTCAGTAGTCAGTACTTCGGTACTGACACGATTTATAAAAAAACCTTTGTAACTTTGTTTGTTTATACATTTTTAACTCCCTCAGACAAAGTTAACCTTAGATGGATTTGACTATTTTTTTTAAGGTACTTTTGGTTGCCGTGGTTATATAGCACTTCAATTATTTTGATTCCTATACATCTTTGGGTTTTAAATATTCGGCTTTGAGCGTTCCTGATGAAAGGCAATCCAGAAAAGAGCTTTGAACCCATGAACTTTCTGACTTGTTGTTTTAATTTTTTTGACTATTAGAGATGTCAATTATTGTAATCAAAATCTTCATGTCTTAATGTATTAAAATCCAACGTTAAAGGATGAACCTCGAAAACAGCATTGATTTATTAAGTTGGACAAAAGAGTAATTCCTTATCCGATTATTCACACAATATAGGTTTATTCAGAATGCTGATATTATTTTATAAAGTTGTCTATACATAAACAAAGTATATATGCTACATCAATAATGACATTGTATGTTCAGAATCTTGGTGATATTGGTTGTAGTAGTACAAAAGGCCGTACTGAATCTGATTAAAAATGTTGACATACGAAAGATTAAAGATATTACCATTGACGTACTGTTGAAATATGCTTTCATAATATTGAAATAAAATTATAGAATTTTAAACCGGATTTATGTTTAATTTACATATCAATATATACGAAAATTTAGCATTATATTTTGATTGTCTTCGTCATATTGTAGACACAATCATTTGAAAATTGTTTTTATTAAACATCACGTAACATCAAAATACCTTTATATAGAAACAAAACATTAGATGAAAAAATTACATTTGAAAAGAGTCCCTTTATTTCAATATAAACAAATTAAGAAAATTCATTATCATTTATTTCGAGTATTAGAAATTAAGAAAAACAGAAATACCGAACTCCAAGGAAAATTCAAAACAAAAATTCCCTTATCAAATGGCAAAATAAAAAGCTCAGACACATCAAACGAATTGAAAGCAAGTGTCATATACCTGACAGAACAAGCATTTCCTTTTGTAGAAAATAGCGGATTAAGCCTGATTCTATAGCTAGCTAAACCTCTCACTTGTATGAAAGTCGCATATAATTCCATTAAATTGACAACAATGTGTGAACAAAACAAACAGACATAATCTTAATCACTATAAAATAAAACAAATATGTCAACAAAGAAAAACAAAATGGCATATCGACAAACACATAAGCAAAAATGAAATACAAGAATACAAAAAATGACCATAGCACAATAACACAATGGCGGGATGTATAAGTACCGAGCCACGCCAAAAGGATATTACCAAAAATGGACTAAACAGTAAAGGTTATAATTTACAAAGAACACTATAATATGTAATTAAGATGATAAACAACGTCAGTACCTAGAATCTACAAGGTATTGGTATCTTCCGATGAACTTTCTGTGATTAAACCCTGGTTTATCAACTTTCTGCGCAGACACTGGTGACGTTTTATACAGTCTGAGTAGCAGCTACAACCTCTTGAATACTGAGTTGTGAAATGTATATCCCATATGCAGGTGATGTTGGTATATTGCTACTAAGGTGGAGGAAATTGATAATTCAAAATTAAAATCGTCTCGTTTGTCATAAATTCTGGTACTGATATGACCGCTTATGTCAAATTCGAGGAATAAGTATAAAACTGAGGCGGTGGAAGCCGTGTCTGTTGTTTTTTTAGTTATAGTTCTAGAGGACAATTTAATGAAACCCAATCAGAAAGGTTTGGATTGTTAATGGAACGAACATCATCAATATATCTGAATGTGAAATTAAATGATCTGGCTTCTTTGATCTTCTAGTTTTTGGCAAGTATCTGAAGGAACTCCGACTCATATGAAAATTAGAAGAGGTCAGCAAGGATATGAGCACAGTTCGTTCCCATAGATATGCCGACAATTTGTTGAAAAAGTATAATTCCAAATTCAACAAATATTTTGTCAATAAGAAACTCCAGCATACTGATCACTTGTTTCTCTGTGTAGCATGTTTTACCTTGTTGTTCACTATTAACAAAATAAGCCGTTAGGTATCCCAAAAGAGGGACGAAAGATACCAGAGGGACAGTCAAACTCATAGATCGAAAACAAACTGACAAAGCCATGGCCATTAAAAATAAAAAGACAAGCAGACAAATGATAGTACAGATGACACAACATAGAAAACTAAAGACTAAGCAACACGAACCCCACCAAAAACTGGGGGTGATCTCAGGTGCTCCAGAAGGGTAAGCAGATCCTGCTCCACATGTGGCACCCGTCATGTTGCTTATGTTATTACAAATCCGGTAAATAGTCTAATTCGGTAAGTCACATTCGTGAAAAGGGAAGGGTATTGTAGTTACGACATAAGGAACATATCCGATATCATCTGTGAAACGGTTATTCCATAACGGTCAACCAACACGTGATGGCGTCCGTAACATTTACGAAGGGATGATTTCAACTTCACCATTTGTAACTCTTGGCTTAATAGCTTCCTTGTGAGCAGCAATCCTCTATCAAGGAAATCATGATAGGAAACACAAGCCCGGGAATATCGTATCAATTGGGAGATATATACTCCGTATGCAGGCGGTGCTGGAATGTTGCTACATAGAAATGGAAAGTTCACAATGAGAAAGCTGAAATCATCTCTTTTGTCGTAAAGTAATACATTTATATTGTATGCATATTTCTTTTAGACGATTTTTAATTTCAAATAGGGAATGGAAGTGATACAGGGTTGAAAAATTAAAAGTTTTGATAGAAATAATTTCAGAGAAAGATCGAGATTTAAAATTATCTAGAAGTTCTTTAGAGTTTTTTTTATATTCACATATAGCTAATACCACTACGCGAGTAAACGGTTTCACGGTATTTCTGAAGATCCCCTTTCATTGCGGATAGAATTGTATATAGGATTCTTCCCATTATACAGGAACAGTATCATTGAAACTTACAAACCTATAAATTGAAGAAAAAACAATGATACTGTTAATACTTATCTTCCTGTTTTTTTTCTAATCGTTTGCTTCTTTTTTCTTCTGCCTCTCTTTATATATATAATCAAGACAATGATCGGAAGATTTTACTCACAGTGTTCAAATAAATAATGAAATTTGGCAAGTTTTCCAAGTGAAGACTTAAATACAACAATATTTAGGTACATTTTATTGATGATGAAGTGTTTGAATTTTCAAAGTTCAAAAACATGACCGACATCATTTTCCATGTGCTCTACCATAAACCCCGCCACATGCTTTTGTGCTTGTCCTAAGTCAGGATTCTGTTTAATCATATTTGTTTTTCGTTCATTAATTTGTACATTTTCTGATTTGATTTTGATATGTTGGACATTAGTCATTTCGGAGATGTTTAATGGCTCATTATGCAGTATGTGTTTTTTCTCATTTTTGAAGGCCGTATGGTTACCTATAGTTGTTTAGTTTTATGTCATATGGTCTCTGGTGAGGATTTGTCTCATTGGCAATCATATTTTATCTGAAATTGATGTTAATTTTTAATTACATATGCTGGATTTTCTTTTACAACTTATACGAATCACGTTGAAAGGTAAATGGCTACAAGACTATTTAATATTATGTTATTACATATACGGATCAAAATTCATTCAGAAACAAATTAATGGCATAATTGAAACAAAATATTGCTGTATGACTAGTGCAGTAGGAATTAACAAGTCAAACGTTCGAATGACTCGTTGTATACAGGTCTATTGATAGATCTATATTACTTTTTTCAAATTTAAGAGACCATAAATTATCCTCATCATACGTTCTATTTTGCTGAGATCAGAATTAAATTGATTGAGTGTGGCTTCGTATGCCAGGTGATGCTTACAATAATGAGATATTTACCTTGTCGACACAATAAGTCTTCCTCCTTTTAGAGTTCATGTGATTTCCTCAAACTGCTATATTGCATATCATGCTGCATAAAATGCAAACATTTTACCAATCTGGTAATCATTATGTCTGACATTTTTTATATAAGCGGATGGTATCCATATGTCATTGAACATTCTGATCTAAGTTATAAGATATCCTAATTATTTATGAGTCTGCTAAGAGGAAAATGGTAAAAGAGACAAACAAATTGAATGAAGGTTAACTTTTCATGTTTTTAAATTTTTCTACCTATTATGGATCGGAAACTGCCCATTCGATCTTAACTGATTTAAAAAGACTACAAAATAAATCAGTAAAATGTTTAAATTCTATTTTTTGTAGCCTTTTGATATATATATTTTGCATATTTTAGAATGTTCAGTAACCGTCAATTATCTACAGTATTTATAATGAAACTGAGCCGTAATTGATTGGCTGGATTTGTCCAATGTTGTCGTAAAAGAACTGAAGTAAGCACCAAAAATTTAAATGAAAAATACTTGAACTCTTTCAAAGATGTATCCCTTTCATGTTTAGACATTTCAGACGTTGTTTATATATGAGGTATGTTTGTTTCATCATGTATTGACTCTGTTTTCAAGAGTTCAATTTGTTATTCCTTTTAAACAGTTCTTCGGGTTTATTCTTAAAAATTTTCGTAGTATCTATTTCCTAATTCATTGTTCTTCCAGACTTATTAAAAACGCCAATCCATGACAATCACTAGCAAACCTTGTTTTTACAATTACTTCTGTGTATTGTCTGCTAAATACAATAAAAGTGTTACGAAACATACCATAAGAATACTGCAGTGGCAATTCTGCTGAGACATTATTGATAAACGTTGTTAATATATATACACGTCATCATAAAACTAATAAAACTGACAAAATATCAAGCTGTGAACATCACAAGATGTCAGGAAAATGTCTGATAAACATAGATAGCTAATTGGATTATGGTTTACATAATGTTTAGGGCCGTACAGTGACCAATAGTTGTTATCTGTTATGTCATTTGGTCTCTGGTGGAGAGTTGTCTCACTGACAATCATACCACATCTTCTCATTTTTAATTTAACATTTAAGGAGCCAATGTTTTACTGAACCAGATGAGCATTTGGACAATTAATGTCTAATCAGTGATGATGTTGGTAAAAAAATCCACAACCTATAACAAACGTTGAAGAGTGGCCCTAACATACATTTTCTTTTACCGGTTTAAATATCTAAAGATTAACGAACTCGCATTCACGTTTTACAGCATTCCGTACAAACTACTCAACTAATTTAGTTTTACTTCAAATGACGAAGTAGTTAAAAAACAACAAATAGTGTTAAACAAATCAAAATAGAACCACAAAAACAATTTTCTGTTAAAAAAAAATGAAACAGGTTAAATTTAGACACAATGACATTCTTAATTTATTTAAAACGGGTTTTCGAAGTCAAATTATACCTTGACATAAGATATGGACTATCCTTTAATTTAACACAAAGATTTATCAATACATTCTGTTAAATATTTCTGCGCTCTTGGAGTATTGTCCTATCTGTTAAATCAACATTCCAGATGTGCATATTGGTTTTTCAACAACAAGAAGGCAACCTTAACCCATCTTTACCCTGGTTCACTGCATGTAACACTTGGTCCGTGCAGCTGTCAATGGGCTGTCGATCGCCCACCTTAAAACGACTATTGCTGTGACACATAAATGATTTACATAAACCATTTTGCAATTGATTTATATGTAAAGGCGGTATTTCCGTCAGGAGACAGAGTTAATGTTCTACAATTTAGGATGGTATATTTAGACTCTTCTTGGTTTTAATGATGTTGTGTGTTTATAAAAACACATTATAGATGCCAGGATTACAAGTGTGTACGCCAGACGCGTTTGACTACTTATGTTTTGTTGTCAGGCGTACGACATATTTTGGAAACACGTATCTTGTTCATTCTGACTTACAAGGTTTGATTAAATTTCGATATCACTATTTGCCGGTTCTGATTTTACAAAGTCTTTTATATTCGAATAGTTACACAAAATAGCAACAAATATACCCTTTGATGATGTAAATATTGTCGCAAGGTATTGAACTATAGTCTTTGATTTCAAATTGTTGAGTCTAAGATATGTAGGTATGATAACAACCAAAAAAGTCAGTAGCATCAAGGAAAGTAATATTCCAGTTGTTGTTAGATTATTTATGATTTTCGATTCTTGTATTAAACGTTTAGAAACTCTTTGATGGTGTCGCCACGATGATAAACTGATTAAAACTATCATAGACACAAAACAAAGAATCTTTGGAACGTGTACAATCCAAATAGAGGCCAGATGCATATGACCATTCCAGCACGTGACCTTGTGATTCAATATTAATGTTATTGCCCATAATAAGGTTGGTAAAACAGGCAAACCCCAACCTGCGATAACGTAAGCTTTATAACCGGAAATACACAGGAATCCTGATTTTGCCGTCATATAAATAAAGTGCAAATCTATAACAATCCACATCAGAATCGATATGTCTGCATATTGGTGAAAAGCTGTCAAAATCTCACATACAACAGGTTTCTGGACTGTGGCTAAAAACGAACGGCTAATTGTCAAAAATATTGATATTTGGAAAATAAGTTTGATGATTAACTCCAATATCACGGCTGCGAATAAATGTTTGTGAATTTTTACCCTCAAGATAGCATTGATATATTTTGGAAGCTTACATTTATAAAGCCAAAAAGATATACACAACGCTATTACAGAAAGAAGAATGAAACTTATTCCAAGTATACTTGATTTTCGAATCACATTCTGCAGATCGTTTATATAATCTTTACCATATTCCTGTAATATAGGCTTTTCAGTCAGAATGCAGGATTCGTAATTTGTTTTTTCAACCACTAAACTATTATTAAAATTTTCCCATAATCCAACCAGACTGCATTTCCGAAACACAAACATTTTGTCATTAAATCCTTGTAATGGAGGACAGGGTTGTGCTATTTTTCTTCCAGGAGGCGTTGCAGGCCAGCACAACAATCCATCATGGACTGGGTCACAGAAATACTGGCTTGCATCGTTATGATTGGACTCTGGAGACATAACAGAAGTGCAGTCAACTGTATCGTGAATCAATATATGTGTCAAATTTTCCATTTTAAGTTATCTGCTTATCTGTAAAGTATACATATTTTTTTATTAAAACACAAGTAATTGGAATACTATTTTCAAACGACGTTTCTGAAAATCAAACAAACAACGTTTCTGAAAATCAAACAAACAACGTTTCTGAAAATCAGACAAACAACATTATCATAATATGTTTTTAGTTGGAAACCTTTTGTGGTAACAAAAGAGGCAGAAGATACCAACAGAACAATTAAAAATTACTAAGTTAAAGAGACACCGACAACACAGACTAACAATGATAAAATGACAAACAACATACACTTCATAACACTCTGTAAGAATATATAAAGATTGATTGCCTGAGTATTGGTTGCTTAACGTCTAGTGGTATAACAATTGTGAGATACCATTTTTTAAAATGGTTGTCTCTGGATTTTTTTAAGAAATATAAGGGGAGATATTGGTAGATTACTGTTATAAATATCCACTTAGTGTTGATATATACACCAAAATTAGGAACAGGATAACGTTTTTACAACCAGTAAAATTGACGTTACAAACGCAATGTATTATAATAGATATTAACAATTACTGCTTTGTAAACTTTTCCATAACTCTTAATCGAGCTTTGACGTTACTGTAAAACTACATAATCAAAATGCGTGTGAACCAGATGTGTATTTATAAATATTCCAAAGGACTTCTAAAAAAACGTGGAAAGTAAGTCGTTCTTTACAAATACTAATACAAAACACTCATTCTTTAACTTAAAGGCAGATGGAAAACAGAAAGTCAATTTTTTCAATTAATAATATTTCTATCATCTAAAATGAGATTCACATTAACAATGGTAGTCTATGAGTTTACAAGACTGAAATAGAAATCGCTCAAAGAGCGAAAATCTTTATTTTACACAAAAACAAAATCATTAATTTCAAGTAGACTTATTATCAGATAATACATATTACGATACTCTGTAATATTTGGCGAAGTGGCACACTGCTTAATTTTGGAGACGACACATACAAGCTAGAATCGGCATAATACGTTGCAATATAGATTCTAATCAAGAATCATTTCGAAATAATTGATTTCTATCTCCTTAATCGATTGATGACATTCAAATAGCGGTAAACAAATGTAAACTTAGTTCGTCAGGCTCATATTACATTATACATTTTTATTTGTAATTTGTGTTGATAAATGTCATAATAAGACTTAACTCTAGGTTTAAACTTCGTAGGACCACGTTGACATTACCAGTCAAAGACTGTTTCGACACTCATATGTGAAGTTGTATTCTTTTCTGTTAACTGTATTAACTTCATTACCCCAAGCACCAAATGTATACTGTTCCATCATACCGTAAGCACTTGAATCTTCATTTCAAACTACAATAGATACAAATTATGCCGGTGCATTCTTTTATCACCCGTTTGAAGCTCGTTAGATCAAGATGCTCAATTTATTTCAGGTAGGCGACAATGGTAACTTTTTCTTCTATTTATCTGTCCATATCGTAAACTTGGATATGTTTGACGGCTCGTTTCAAAGCTGATATATTTTCATGTAAAGATCTAAATTTTGGGGTACGAAATTGTGTTTGACGTACAATGCAATTTGTTTTAACTTTCAACCCATTCATGCTTTTGGACTTGACGACGAAACTAAATATGTTATTGTATAACTATAATTATTTCGACTAAAGTTCATGACAAACACTATAGTCAGATTTTTATAGATTATCGCTTACTATCACCTAATGAACGAAACTTGATAGCGAGGCTATTAATTTCAATCAACAGTTAAGATTTTTTTTCTAGTCAACAGCTGCTTCAATTGTGCTTTGTTCCCTTAATAACTAACCAAATGATTCGTTTTGCAACCTGCATGATAAAATTTGTTTGTATAGATTCATAATATATTGTTGACCAATATATTTTGTATTTTGGTTGATAATATTTTTGGTGTAAGATTTCAAAAGTGTTACCTCATGATAAAAAAAAATTATTTAGTTGTGTAATATAAGGCGATTATTTTACTATTACCATACATTCAGCAGTGATAATAAGGCTTTCATTTGATGATAACCACACACGACCCAAATTCCTAATCAGTTAAATATAAATATAGTCAGAACAATTAGTGTTATTTCAACCGATCTATTTACGCGTGATCTCAGAGCGCGGGACAGAATCATCTAATGAAAACGAACACTTTTCTTACCAACTTGAACAAAAATCGTTTTGAAATTCAATTTTTACTTACAAAAAATTCTCTGTCAATGAATAAGAGTTTAACGTTAATTTTCAAAAATGATTTTTAGATTTTTAAATATTACTTCAAATGTTTGAATATTTAAGTTTAAGCTCATTGTTTTTCTTTTGTTTGACAAAAAAAATCACTTATCAATACTTTGTTTAGAAAATATTTATGAATACATCGATTGCATAGATACGAAAACGAACGTGCTTTATTGTTAATTGTAATAAACGCCTCTTTAAATTATGGCAACAATAGTTTTGGAAAAAATTGGCAATCAACAATACTCAGGGAACAATTTGATCACTATTTTCAGATCACGTAATTACTTATTAACTCATAAAGTGAAAATAAAATAAATTGGTTATGTCACCTTTGACATTAAACATTGATTAGATAATTAATGTCTTTTAAAACACATAATTCATTCGTCTTTTGAATATAATACGAAAAATAAACTATGAAAAAAGATTAAAGTCTTTCATACGTTTTTACAAATAACTTTTGAGTCAGATTGCATACAGAACATTTTAATAACGAGGTAAAAAAGAAACTATGCGATAAATCGAGAATATAAAGTTAAAAATATGACTGTTTTCTTTTTTCAGTAGAAACATAATACGGAAAGATGATGAAATTTAAGTAGTAAATTTCGTTTGAGCTGGACTGAAAATACACATAACCCTACGGAAGAAGAGAAAGTAGATATATACCCCAAACTGGAATTATTACTTTCCTATCTAAGGTCGATGGTTCTCTCCTAGAACTCTGATTACCGCCACCAATAAAAACTGACCGCCACTTTTTAACCATATAAAACTAAAAAAATATCCAAAGTGTATTCAAGTTTTTTGTGTGTTCTAGTTTTTATCTGTGTGTTTTTTGTTTGTTTGTTGCCTTTAACATTGAAATCATTCTGGATTATTATGCAGATAAGTCGGATAGAGTTGATTCTTGAAAAAAATGAAAACAACAGGTGATTTTCTAAATATATGCAATACACTAAGAAGTGATGAAAAAAGAAATTGAAATAGGTTTTAACTTCAATTTTTACTGTCAAATATTACTACTTACGTAACCATGGTAAGCTTGAACTTATTTTCAAATGCAGAATAACAAATACTTACCTTACTCGTTTTTACCTAAAGGTTAACTACAATCTTAACATCACTAAACAACTCTTTTAGATCAATAGTAGTTGATTTGACGGATCATTTAACATTTTAATGAATGAATAAACACTTGATTTGGCACATCTGGACCTTCACCCACTAAGAATAAATCTTAAAAGCCAGGGATTCTGTAATATGCTGACACGTTTAATTGCAAATAACTCTTAATCATAGTGTAATGATCATGGTGTAAATCAAACACGCTTATCGATAGTCGATTGAAAGTCTTAAAGTCTTGCATTTAGACAAAAAAAAAAGAAAAAAAAAGAACTTAACTAATATGAATAAAACAACATTGAAAGAATAACCGTTCAAAACATATATTGAATGTTTTCAGCTGTTAATATGTGTAGAATGACCTGAGATATTCCCTGGTTTTTGATGGGAGTGAGCTCAGGTTCGTGAAGCTCAGTCTTTAGTTTTCTATGTTGTGGTTGTTTTCCGTAGTTTGTCTTTTTGGTCGTTTTTCGTTGTTTTGCCATGGCATTGTCAGTTTGTTTTCCGTAGTTTGTCTTTTGGTTGTTTTTCGTTGTTTTGCCATGGCATTGTCAGTTTGTTTTCCGTAGTTTGTCTTTTGGTCGTTTTTCGTTGTTTTGCCATGGCATTGTCAGTTTGTTTTCCGTAGTTTGTCTTTTGGTTGTTTTTCGTTGTTTTGCCATGGCATTATCAGTTTGTTTTCGACTCAATAGTTTGATTGGCCCTTTGGTATCTTTCGCCTTATTATTATGTGACAGAAAATAGTTTTTATCACAAATAAAACTAGGAAACATAAAATATATGGTTAATAACAGATTTTGTATGAGGCTTAAAAACTTGGGAAAGATTGTGTTTTGCGAGCCATTTTCTGCATAGGGAAATGCCTGTACCAAGTCAGGAATACGACGGTTGTTTTCCATTCGTTGATGTGTTTGAGCTTTTGATTTTGCCATTTTATAAAGGACTTTCCGTTTTTAATTTCCCTTGGTATTTTTGTAATTTTACTTTTTAAACAGTTTTTTGTAGAGTACAGAACATTTAACATATTTCTGACAGTATTCTAATAATGTGTGTATACTGCAGCTAAATATGGCTATATTAAGAACCATTAAAATGGTAAAACCAAAAGTCCAATTTATTTTCTCTATTCAAAGGGCGTAAAACCCCAAGGGATAACTGGAGCATAGAAATGTGGTAATTCCTTAGTCTTCATCCGATTGGCAATCAAACCTTTGCAAACATGGGAGTCCGTTTGGCTATGTGTGATGTATTAACGAGTAGCCACCTCCGGTCAAAATAAGAGGCGTTAAGATCAATGTCTCCTGTAGAAAGAGAGAAAGCTGTATGCACGTTAAGATCCCTTGTAATAACTCTTTGAGGGGTCCGTAGTTGGCATGTTGCAAGGCTAAATTTAGGTCCCTATACAATGTAACTTCATTTTTCATTTTTCATAAGGACAGTCAGTGTTCTAATTAATATATAAATTTTTTTATCATGTCATGACAGTGACAAAACTGTTTACCCTCATAGGTACTTCTACCTGAAGTAAGAAGTTTTTATTATTAGAAATGCTGATCATTCAACGGTATGATAAAGACAATACTATTTGCAATATTTGGTTATTGTGATAAGACA